GGTCAGAGACATTATGTGAAGACTTTAAAGTTGCTTATGAAGATTTGTGGATTCACTTGAACTTAAGACTTGACTGGAGACTTTATTTGCCCTAAAGGATTTAACTGTGCCAGCAAGTCCCCAACCCCCAATTGTCATATTTAAATTGTAAATTATTAATTAATTTTGTCCAAAAACCCCAAAATAAGACCATAATGACAGTATGCTATTAAAAAAACAGCAAATATTCACATTTAAAAGGCTGGAGTCGATTCATTTTTATTAATGGAGCAAACTTTTAATCTCTAATTAGGACCAAAAAAATAAATAAAAAAATCAACAGATTTTAAAGGAAAATGTTAAAATGTGAAACCTAAAATTCATCATAAAGTTACTAATGACTTCACTTGCTCTGACCAGACTTTGACTTACACAAAATAGCTCAAACTCGTGGAAATAACATGACTAGTAATATTACCTCACTCAAAAACACCCTTTTCCTGTAGTAATCCTTTTTTTTTGTGTGCATATTTTGGCACCCACAACTAATTTCACAACCACAAAATATAAACTCATCCCTAAAAAAATATGCAACACTGGAAGAAATGTGTAACTGATGACAAACAAACAATGACTAAAGAAAAAAAAACAGGGTGTGTGTGTATATATATATATATCTAAACATAAATATATATATATATATATATTTCTGCTGACCCGCAGCAACCCGTTATCACGCAAATGATGAGTGTGTCATGCCCTTTTAAGAAAAATGAGAAATAGTCGGGAGTGACGTCTGCTGCACACACACACAGAGAGAGAGAGAGAGAGAGAGAGAGAGAGAGAAGTGTCAAGGCCCACTTTGCGATATTGAATTACTGATAACACACCACAGTGTATTCCCACAGACACATGTGAGTTTGTGATTAAAATCCAATGCTTATAATGACGGCGCTCAGATCAAAGGCAGCAGCAGCAGCAGGGAGGATGCAGGCCCTTTAAGAGAGGCAGGATGGGGAGGGCTCTGCATCCATAAAACATGAGTTTATTCAGTGGCCATGCGAAGACGTGGTTAGGAGCGCCTCTGCACTCCAGCGTGCTCTCATACCCATCGCAGGCAGAGCCAACGCTTCACACACACACATGCTGACACAGCTCTGCCAGGAGCCGAAACATGGAGAGGAGAAAGGGATAAAAAACAAACAGGAGCTGGAGGGGAAGACGGGAAGCAAAGAGAAACAACAGTAGAAGAAGGAAGCAGCAGAGAGTGAATGGGGAAGAAAGAAAAAAGGCATAAAGAAGATCAGAAAGTGACGGCGCGATAGAGGACAGTAAACAGGTGCATCGAGGCGGAGAATGGGCAATTCCTCCTTCCCAGGCATGTCCCCTCTCTCTCCGTCCATTCTGTAGTTGCAGGTATTTTCTAACTTGAGTGCCCTTCTCTGACGCGCTGGGGGTGCTGGGAAACTACCACTGTTTACCTCTACGCTCCTCTTCAGTGTGATGCTGTCTTGTGTCTCTGCCCTGCATGCTCCTTGAAGATGCATCTGATGTCACTTTGCAGAGTTGAATCTGTGGGTAAAAATCTGAATATGATGTTATAATCTGTGAGTTGGAAGGGAAGTTCTTCTGATTGTGGTTTGATTTGAGGTGGATCCTGGTAGAATAATCAGTTTGAAGTGCTACAGCTGGTTTTAAAGACATGAGAAGAGTGTTTTTCAGTGCAGATATTGAGAGTCTGGGAGGTTTGGGAGGACTGGGGGTGTGATAGCGTCTGGCGTTGTCGGTTACGTCTGGCAGCAGCTCCTGTTTACTGCCTGTGCGGATGGGAGACTGTTGATGCTCTGCCTCTCTGTGGTTGGCATCTGGAGCAGCATGAAAGAGGGCTATTGATGGATGCACAGACAGAGGCTGCTGTTGGTCAGAGGGATGGAAAGAGTGATGCAGACACTGCTGCTGGTTTGTAGGTTATTTTCTGGATGTTAATGCAGCGATTTTAAAGATACAGGAGATAAACAATGATCTCCACTTGCTGAGCTTTAGGAGAATCTGCATTGTGAACATATTTAAATGGGCATCAGTCTTATTTTTTAAATATTAAGGTAGGTGAAACGTTGAGGTTTGTCCTCTTTTAAAATCATTACATTTGAGTCACAGAGGATCAATTTTTCTAACAGATCGCCATCTCATCATAGACGTGATCAGTCGGGCTGCCCCCGAAGATTTTCCTTGTGGACTAGCAGTCTTTAGATAAAGCCAATAGTCGACTAGTCGTTGCACATTTATGATAATAATTTAATTATTTAAATATATATAACCAGCAAGGAGACTGAACATTTATAATAACATCACACAGTCTGGTTGTTTAACACATGGAATAGATAACTTCCAACTTCACTGAAACAGATCCTGGCGGACTGATCGATACGATGGATGATGGAT